GGGAGGAGGCCTAAAGGTAGACCCAGGACACGTTGGAGGGACTATGTCTCTCACCTGGCCAGGGAACGCCTTGGGATTCCCCCGGAGGAGCTGGCCCAAGTGGCTGGGGAGAGGGAAGTCTGGGCCTCTCGACTTAGGCTACTGTCCCTGCGACCTGACTCCAGATAAGCGGGTGAAAATGGATGGATGGATGGGTGTTATAGTAACCTGAATGGTACTACAGAAATATCTAGTAATATGACATTTCCAGTAACATATTGTGTACTTTAGGACATGAAAGCAATGGTTAGGAATGGCTCCCTTTGTTTCAAAGTTAAACATCAAAACAGACAACACTGTCAAACAGGTTTTTCTTAATATCAAAATTGAGTATAATCATGTGGGGGGCTAAGGCCATTACTTGGTCTGAGTTTGGCTTCAGTGGGGTCAAAGGTCACCACAATGTGCAAAAAATCCCCTTTATGAAATTTTAAATGACAAAATGTAGGGAAAATGAATAACTCCCAAACTTTTTGACCTAAGGAGCTGAAATTTTAATGTCTAGATTGTGGTGCTCGAGCCATACAGTGTGCAAATTTTTAGACTCGCAGCACCTTGGGAAGTGTCAAAAGTCACAGAGGTCAGCCATTGAAGTGGCCTTTTGGCCTGCTTTTGTCTAACAACTCAACACAACTCATGCGTTGAGATTTAAACATGAAATCTGAGTATGTTGCTTATCAAACGTACTTTACCCGCATATCTCGGTGCAGTTATGATGGGACCTCTGGGGGTCTACTTGGCCTTCCAAAGTTCTTGCAGAGTTGTGTTTTGGGGTGATTGATAGGGTCTCTTCACAAGCCAACAGGCAAAGCTTCAAACAATTTGAAAAACTGACTTTTAACTCTATGGGTTAGCTGATGCCGTTACGTCTACGCTTTTATATGCTGTTATGTTTTTATTGTTTGTTTCTTAAACTTTTTACTGGTTTTATATGTTTTTATTTTTATTGTACAGCACTTTGGTGGCATGTTTCATGCCTGTAAGGAGCTTTCTAAATAAAGGTGACTGACTGATTGATCGATAAGATTATTCTAAAGCGACCCCTGGGGATCATCTGACCTGAGTCTGGGGTCAAAGGTTGCTGCGTGGAAGCCAAAATGTATTTCTTTGAAATTTGAATTTAGAAAATGGTGGGAAAATGAATAACTTTAAAACTATTTGACCTATGAGGCTGAAATTTGTGTAGAATAGAATAGAATAGAATAGAATAATCCTTATGTCCCACAATGTGGATATTGAGTCATAGCAGCTAGTTTGTAAAGTAAATGTTTTGCTCCAAGTTAAATATTCAGATTACAAACTAAATACGTTGGTGTGACCTAATTATTTAATTTGTAAAATAAGCATTTAAGTCTAAATTAAACATTTGGCTTGTAATATTATTATTTAGTTGGAAACTTTAACATTTATAAATGTTTGAATAATCATGGTGAAAATATTACTTAGAAAAATGAACCACCTATTTTTTACCTTCTTCTAGTTTAACTTAATTGCTGCAAAAATTATGTTTGATTTTAAATGGCACCACACAGATATGTGCAGAAATAAAAATTATTAATACTTTAAACTATTATTCACAGCATTTTAACCTATTAAAATTTTAATTATATTTCAGTTGATTGCATTTTGCTGCTTCCACCAAGTCTCAGAATTAGTTTTCTGAATTATACCGTACCAAATATAATTTTTTTCTACAGTCTTTGTATTAAACCCAGTTACTAGGAACTACTTTTTCTTCTGCCTTCCACAGTACAACTCATTAACTATTCAGGAAAACGGTCAGATCAGATAGATAATAATATTAACTGCATTTTGCGATGTAGGTGATGACTAACATGCAGTTACTGTTATTTATAAATGGTGTATTTTACTGGTAATTCATCTCGAGTCCCAGTATTCATGCGCTCATGCCCGGGAAAGCACCTGGCTCACGTGATCACGGTTCACACGCTGTAGCCAGCGCCGCTGGGCTGCTCATTGGTCCAGCCGACAATTGCGCGGCAGTCTTTGGCGGTGTTCTAACCGGTTCTAACCGAACAGCGGCAAGAAAGAAAAAGAACAAGAGGAAAGAACTTCAGCTGCAGGAATAAAGGGATTCGCAACGTTCTCCAGTCTGCTGCAGGACGACGAAGACTGTTTTCTCGACGTAGATGCGTGGAGCATCACTGCATGTAAGTGTCCTTTCTCTTTACTGACTTTTAGTCAAACATTGCTTGCTCAGACTAGTCACCGATATTTGAGAAAGGATAAGTTTGAGTTAACTGCCGTTCTGGTTCAAAATGTCTTACACGTGTACTGTTTGTAAATTCAAAGCTGTGTCAACTCCCGCATTTATTCGACATGTTAAAATGCACAGAAATGTCGCTAACATTAGATTTCACTGTGGCTATGCAAATTGTCCTTCTGCTTTTTCAACAGTAATTGCTCTTCAAAAGCATATGTACAGAGTTCATACGACCACAGTTAAATCAAGGGCGCAAACGCAAGGACTTGCTTTGGCTTTGTCATGCAAATTTGAGGGGTGTACCTTTGTGTCAGAGCGTGTAGCAACCTTATGGGAGCATCTGCAGCTACACAAGTCAGGTGGGACAAAAGTGCCTTGCCCCTTTGATAACTGTCCAAAGACTTTTTCTGTCCGTTCATCTTTCACCTCACACATCAGTCTGAAACACAAAGCAATAATTTGCACCTCTATTGCTGCTGCTGCCAGCACAGCTAGCTCGATGGACACTGAAATGACTAAAACAGCTCAACCAGGTTTACATGACAATCGTGAAGCAGAAGTGTTGGATGGTGACACTGAATTAGATGAGAATGAGTTCATGACCAGTTTGGCCTTGTTCTATCTCCAGATGCAGGCTAAAATGCTGCTGCCTACCAGCGTGATTCAAAAAATAATTGAAGAGTTCCAGCAGGTGCACAGTTCAAGCACAGCCCATCTTTTGTCTAAGCTGCATCAAGATTTGACTCAGTTAAATGTGCCTGAAAATGAAATCAGAAATCTCATTGATAATCTGTCAAAAAACGACCTGATGAAAAGATGCAATGAAGGAGTTTTTAGAAGTGATCAAACACGGAAAACGCTTTTCAAGCGTGAATTCAATTATGTTGAGCCAACAGCGATTTACCTGGGTATTGACAGAAATGGAAAAGAGAGATTTTGCCAGTATGTGTCTATTAAAGAGACACTCAAGGCATTACTTAGCCAAGGATCAGTTCAAGAGCAATATCTCCAAGCAAAATCTGAAACATCAACTCCTGATTTCCTCGAAGATCTGAGAGATGGTAAAATCATAAAAAACAATAAATTATTAAATGAATCACCATCCTCAGTAGGTATAATCTTATATCAAGATTCATTTGAAGTTGCTAACCCCCTTGGTTCTGGCAGAAAGAAGCACAAGATCTTGGCTATGTATTTGACGCTAGCAGAAATCACGGCACACAACAGGTCTTCCGTTGACCAAATGCAACTAGTTTTGTTGTGCAGGGAGGAGGACTTCAAATTTTTTGGCCAAGAAAAGGTATTTTGTGCTGCAGTTAATGACCTGAAAGAAATTGAAGACAGTGGTATTCATGGTCCTAGAGGGAATAATGTGAGGGGTACTGTTTTGGCCATAACAGGAGATAATCTAGGATCTCATTCCATTGGAGGTTTTACTGAAAACTTCAGTAGAAGCAGATACTTTTGCAGATATTGCCTCATTGACAGGGAAACCTGGGAGCAATCTCCAACAAAACCTGGTCCAGCTAGATCAGTAGAGACCTACAAAAACTGTGTGGCAGAGGGGGAAATGGCATACGGGGTAAAGTTTGACTCTGTGTTCAATCAGCTGAAGTATTTTCATGTTTGCCAGCCAGGCCTCCCTCCATGTCTGGGTCACGATCTGTTTGAAGGGATTGTTTCTGTTGATCTTGCTCTATATATAAAGCACTTAGTAAAGATTGAGAAACAGTTCACATATAACCACATAAACAGGATAATATCACATTTCCCCTACAAAGGCAGCGATGCCAACAATAAACCATGTGAGGTAAAAGCAGATAGTGAAAAGCTTGGTGGCCATGCTGCTCAGAACTGGTGCCTCTTGCGTCTCCTTCCTGTAATGGTTGGGGACAGAATAAAAAATCCCCTTGAAAATGATGTTTGGCAGTTGTGTCTCAAGTTGAGAGAGGTTGTTGAGCTAATATGTGCACCGAAGATCCACAAAAACCAAGTTGCATATCTTCAGATGCTTATTGAGGAGTACCTTGAAATGAGAAGAAAAAAATTCCCAGGAAATTCACTGCAACCCAAACATCATTACCTTGTTCACTACCCTGCGCTTATCCTCCATTTTGGTCCACTTATTCGATTATGGACGCTGCGTTTTGAAAGCAAGCACAGTTATTTTAAACAGTGTGCAAGGAAGCTTCATAATTTTAAAAATCTCTGCAGCACTTTAGCTGAAAGACACCAGTTGCTGCAAGCTTACTTGCTTGCTGGCAGATTCTTTCCGCCATTGCTTCAAATAGGGGAATCCATGAAGTTCCATGACAAACTCTACCAGATCGCAATACAGAGAGCTGCCAGTCTCTGTGACCTTCATCCAGAGAACACTTTTGAAACAGTCTCTGTTACATTTAAAGGGACGCTGTACCAAAGAGGCATGGTTATTGTTGTCAACCAAAATGACACAGGCTACAAGTTTGGGAAAATTGTGCTCATACTGATTAATCAGTCATGTGTGTATGTTGTTGTTGAGCTGTACCAGTCAGTCCGTGTTTTGGATCTCGGTGTACACTGTCTACAAAACAGTCATGATGCTCATTACGAGTGTGTGTCTATGGACAGTCTTGCAGACTACTATCCATTGGCCACATATAATCAGTTTAGTCTGAACTTGATTGCCTTGCACCATTCAGTGTGTTACAGGTAAAAGACATGGACTCCATTGAGCATGCAATACAGAGCGTGCTACCACAGCTACAGAGAGAGAAGGTGGAAGCAGTGATTCACGAGTTTGAAACCACATTGGGTGTGGAAGGGCCAGATGATCTTCAGTTTATCAAAGAGGCAGACATCAGTCACCTACTATCGCCCATTCAGTGCAGAAGATTGATTAATTCTTTCAAAAGTCGTAAGCTGTCTCAATTAGCCTACATGTTTATGTTCACTGCTATTGTATTTTGATGATAATGACTATTAAGATGAAAAATGTTGGAATGAAACAAAATTAACCATTATGTTTTTTGTGCCTATGTCAATTTGTTATGCAGATCCAAAAAGTCCTCAGCCTATCACCTCCTCACCCGTTTCTTCCCCCTCTAGCTCATTTTCAAATGAGCCTTACACCAGTCCATTAACCAGTCCACAAGGACACAGCAAATGGGTAGACGGATTTCAGGTGCAATGGGACAAAATGAGGCCCGCTCTCAAAAGAGCCATTGATGATGGTAATCGTCCAGAGCCAGGGGATCGCAGACACATGGTGAAAGTCATTGTTGATTCCATGAGAGAACACTGCTTGAACCCGACACGAAAAGACTGCACAACAGTAGCAAAAGCTATAACTCAGATGTATCCTGGCAGCTTTTTAGATAAAACAGATGAGGGAGAAATTATTGGATGTGGATACTTCACTTTACTGCAGCAGCTGAAAACCAGAGTTGAATATGTTAACAGAGACAACACACTCTCCCGCCTGAGGAGGCCCAGAAGGTCAGACACAAGTGATGATGACCAGCCGCCACCACCTGCCAAATGTGCTAAAATCGACAGTTATGGTTGTATTAACTGGCAGCCACAGGAGTATCCAGAGGGGGAAACGGCTCAATCACTAGAAGAAAAGAGGAAAGAAATGATAGATATTTTTACTCAAGATGGACCAAAGGCAGCTGAGAGAGGAAGGGTAAAGGAACTTATGACAAATACATATTCAAAACAGCGAGAAGACATCAATGCTGACCCATCTCCCAGCATTCTGGACATAAGTAAACGGTGGCCATTTCTCCTGTCTTGGAAGCTCTTACTTTCCCACTTCACTACCCTGACTGGTGTTGACCTGTACACCAGACTGAAGGATGACATGGATAAAAAGGGGAAGAGGCTCCTGGAGTACTTCGGATGTCAGGTGATGAGTTGGACCAAGGAAGTTAAAGCTCTTCTGAAAGATGCTTTAAAGGCAAACCGAGAGGGCACAGATGGTCTTGCAGCACTCCTGGTGATGATGACCCATTTCAAGGAAGCAGAGGACGCCCTTTTCATCCTTGCTGATGTAAGTTGTTATATTGGTCTTAAATAATTCTTAATGTAAAAAGTTCTTTGTTAATTGTAAATAGGGATGCACCAATACACTTTTTTTCACTTTTGACACCATTATCTGAGATTTAGTATCAGTCGATATTGCTCAATTTGTGAATCAAACCTTCCCGGAACGCAAATACTGGGGGGGGGGGGGGGGGGGGGGGGGGGTTCGCTGGAGTTTTTGACAATTAAAATTGCGCCCACATTTTCTAAGTTAACACAACTCCTTTGACAACAGTAGTTTCAGCATCTTTACTGTCCCCCTGCTTTAGCACTCTCCCCTCTCCCCCTACGCAGCGGCCGCACAGGTGCTCCTGTCAGAGTTCCTGCTGCTCTAAACATTAAAATAATTATTTCATTTTCTGTTCCTCACGTCTGATTACCTTCAATGGTGTCTGTTGTTGCAACCAGCAGGTACAAAAACTAACTTGTTTTCATTTGACTATTTTCTGTCCTGTCTGTTTATTATCTTCCTGCATCTACTCTCAATCCTAAAGAGAAACTGCTACCTGGGTTCATATATATTCACCTTATGAGTTACCTTTGAACTGCAGTTCTAAAAGATCTACCGACCGCAAAAACAGCAGTCTGCGCACCAGCCACACTGGTGATGAAGTCACCGGAGGACAAAACAGGTGATGCGCTCCGCTCCACAGCAGCGAAAAGCATCAGGCACAAATAACAGACAGAAAACATAAAAGGAAATGAGCCGACATGAACGATCGCGTGTTAAATTTGTTTTTGAGGTGGTGACACCTAATTGGATAATGTTACTGTGGCCGTGCTCAGGACGCAGATGTCTGGAGCACGTCAACGATCAGAGCTTTGCACCTATAATCTCCGGAGAGTCTGCATGAATAATGTAATATCAGTAGAACCAGGATCGTTTTCGGGCTCCCCTGGGTGTGTAAGCTGAGGGCTTCCAGGGGAGCCTGTCTTCTTTTGGGGTGAGTCGGGGTCCCTTCAGCTGACCCGTAGTTCAAACCATGCGTATAGCACAAGTTGGTTGCGCGAGTTGCCGGATCCTAGCAGACAGTTGCCAGAACGGTCCTTTGAAAATAAGACAGTTCCTGGATCTTGTTCCGGCGAGATCCGGCTCAAATTAAGCCCTGGTCGATATTGATCTCATACCGATACAAAAATCCAACACTTTATTGCATAATGAACTACATATGAAAAAGACTGCACTGCAAAAACTGATTTCTAAGAAAGTAAAAACACTCCTTTTTAAACATTTTTCTTTTTAGTCCAAACAGATAAAAAAAAAATCCCCAGAAAAATAACATTACTTAAAATTAGCTAAACATTCTTTACTATGATCCAGATTTTCTAGTTTTGAGTAAAAAAAAAATCTGCCAGAGAGGTAAGCGGTAAGAGGTAAAAAGTTGCTTGGCTATAATTTGTAAAACTAGCAAATAAATTGATTGTTTTTTTACTTAACTTGAGCAAAACCTTGCGAGACTTCATAACTGCTGCCTTTTAACTATGAACTGCTTTAAATTCCCTCCAAATTGACGGTCAGTCAAAACAACGGAAAATTTGCAATACGTACTGGAACAGAGCACGTTGCTCTTTTGCCGCTGACCGCTCCTGCATGTCGCCTCCTGTGGGTCGAACCCTTAATGAACACTAGAAATCCAAGAGGCCTTTGCAGCGCTTTGCTGCCCGGGCCTAATTAAAAGACAACTTAGATGTGTTTTTCCTTTTTCTTTCTCATTCTAATGCTTTACTGGAGTATTAGATCGAGAGCAAAATAATGTGATCAAAGCATCCCTAGTTGTTGCATTTTGCGTTTTGTCCTGTTCTCTCTGAGCCTCAGTGGATATACCAGGGACTGTCTTCTACATTTGCCAATTGTAAAACTTAAAAAGGAGTCTGTTAAGCTGTGTTAAACACTGTTTACTGTGTTTTTATTTATTTATTTTGTAAAAAGTTTAATTGTGCATTTTGTTCATCTCAATTCATCAGGTTACAACAACTCCTGCTGATGCAGAGGAACAGTTCGTCCTCCCAAGCACCCCAAGGCTCATCGCACTTGGTAAAACTGTCATTTAGTAAAAGCAGATATTAGGGCTGTCGCGGTAACCGCAAAAATGAAATATCGCGATATGAAGAAGCCCACCGCGCTGCATCATGCGCCACCGCAATTACTGAACTTGGTTCAACTCAATGATGCATGTTGAGAAGGATGGCTGCACTGGTATCAAAACGAAACGTTACTTCGCTCCTTTGGGAGCACTTTGGTTTTCAGTACGTCAGCTGCTGCGCAGCCAGAGTCCTTGGCCGAGACAGAGTTGCCACCAGCGGCAAATAAATAAATAAATAATAAACGCTCGGAGACCTGCTGAAGTCCCGGACAAGCACTGCTTCTGCAACCGTCCCGAAGAGAGTTTGAGCCGAGCTGGAGCTCACTCGCTACCTGCAGGAGGAATGCATCCACGCTAAAGAAACCCCCCTGACATGGTGGAGCAACAACCGGGAGAGATTCCCTTTGCTCGCCAGAGTCGCACGCAGGTACGTGTGCGTTAGTGCAACGAGCGCACCATCCGAGAGGGTTTTCAGTGTTGCTGGAAATGTTGCCACCCCTCTCAGATCCTCTCTCAAACCGTAGTTAACATGCTGGTTTTCCTTGTATTTAACAAGGACGTGACCGAGCTATAAATCACCGTCATTCGTGTGTGTGAAAGTGAGATGATAGTGCGCCCGCCCCCCGGCGCGCGCGCGCACGGTACATGTAATTTTTTATGCTTGATTTTAAACAACTAAACAAAATGGGGACTTGTTTCTTATTTGTTAGATGCTGCAGCCAAATTTGCATTTAAAAGTTTAACCTTCTCCTGAATTTTGTTGTTTTGAAGTTCAGTCGGACTCCGACTGTCGGACAAACAAACGTTACTGCGATCTGTGTTGTTACTGCCCTTTGATCTGCATTCAGTAAAGTGTTATAAAAGAAGGCACGGCAATTTTTAACCTTTTTTAAATGTGTAAACATTATGTTTAGATAGTACTGCAATAAAAAAAGGGCTGCAATAATATCGCACACCGCAATATTAAGCCACCCTGAATCACCGCAGGAGGAATTCCTCAACCGCGACAGCCCTAGCAGATATAGAAAAATAAATCCTAAGTTGACATTAAGACTAGTGAGGAAGTGTCATTACTGCAGTGCCCGGGGAGAACATTCCAACAATGACTTGGTTGGCTGGGGACGAGACAATGATCATCCCCAGCCAACCTCCTGCCCACTCAGCCACAGCAACACTTTGCCAGGAAAGAGGGTTTGCGAAGCAGATCGCTCACGAAATTTGTGTGCTGCCTGCTTTTCCTCTATTCACATCAGGCACAAAGTTTTCCGTCGCAATCATCAAGCGCTTCTGCTCAGCTGTTGCATTTCTTTTTTTAACTATGTTTACCAGGTATTAGCCCCCATTTACTGCTCTTTTCCTGTTCAAAAACACCCCGCGTGCCTTTGCTGTTCTGTGTGTGTGCACACGCACACACCCTACCTATTTATATCTTCGGAAACTGCGCCGATCCTGCTCAGCTCTTGTGTAATTAGACCAATTCCTTTAAAATTGGGTTCGTAAATAACTTTGTGTTTTTGGTATGAAACAATGCTACTGTATATATTTATCTTTGAATTAAACTTATTTGTTTATCTAAGCAAAACAGGTTCTCCCCCTCCCCATAGTTCAGCCTACACTGCGGGAATGGGTGTGTTTAATTTTCATCTCTAGTCTGTTTAGATACACAAATATGATTGCATTTATCAATCGGTGTTTTAATTGAAAACTAGCTTTATTTTGTTAAATTTCATGGCCTGCCTCTTCTGTCTTTGACTTCCTGTCAGAACTGATGCAGCTCCCTTTCATAAAAAATAGAGCACACGCCAAAACAATTGCCACATGGCGTGAGCCTTCCCAGTGCTTCGCAGCTGCTGTGAACGACACCATAAGTCAACAAGGGCGCCGAATAGAAGCGCTCTTTGTTCCACGATGCTTAGCATCACTTCTGTGTCTGATGTGAACTATGTATCAGACATTACTTATTTGTAATTCAATTGTTGTTTTATGTTTGATTATTGCAGGAGACACTATGTGGTCTGCGAACAAGTGGATGCTATCCATAGAGGGCAGAGTTGTAATCACACTTTTGCCTCCCATACCGGATTTTACAACTGCCTTGGCTGTCCTGTTTGCCAGTTTCTATGTATTCAACATAGAATATCAGGTGGAAGCAGTCACAACACTGGAATTCGTTCAGAGGTATTGCTAATAACATTCTAACTTAACTTTGAGCTACAATTAAATTCAAGTTTATTTACAAATATTTAGAAAAATCTTAGAACTCTTCATAGTGCTGAAAGAATAGTAATTTAAAATTAGAACAGTCGGACAATAACTAAAATCATTTGCTCATACAAATATGTTCATTCAGGACAATAAACGCTGTAAGTCTAAATATCCAATCGGCGCCAAAATCATTACTATGTTTTAGCTGCACCTTGACTCTAAAGCTGCTATTCGTAATCTGCAAAATAAACTAGCTTACTCACTCAGAACTCTCACCCCTCCCATCAAGTAGCAGTCCTAGGCCATGCCCCACTGAGGAAGTGCGGTGATGTTCTGCTGCAAAATGTGCTACAGGCATAATGAGTCATGGAGCCACGTACATGCAGAAGTCTGTTTGTCGGGTGGGATTGTTTAATCATTGGTTTTGGACCAATCCATGTTTTTGGCTGAAGTTTAGACAAAAGAACCACTTAATTATTTATGTTTTTCTTTAATCTCCACAAAATATTTCTAAGAATGTTGTGTTAAAATGTTAATAGGCATGAAAAAATCTGTTAGATTACTTATTTTGCAGATTAAAGATAGCAGCTTTAAATTTCTTATCCTTTCAAGTTGATTTCTATAAGCTTTTTGATCTGTTCTGAGAGGACTTTTGTTATGATGATGTGCTCACCAAACTGTCCATAAGTTATATTAACCTATATTTTCATTTCTATTAGGTTCCTTGCCAGGATCAATCCAAATTCCATCAAGTGCACAGCCAAGGTCCAGACGAGCAGAAAAACTGGCAGAACTGTGAAGAGAAAGACAACGGATATAAATCCACGCGTCGTTTCATTCATGAACGCCTTCTCTGCATTTGACTGGCAAAACAGCTAGCTTAAGGTGAGGTTCTGATACTGGTCACTACATCTATGAAGATGGGTTTGGTCTTTATTTGTCAAAAGTAGCGTAAACATATGGAGCCCATAAGGGGACATGAGCAACAAAAATATTGTGCGTACCAGTAATTTTCTCGTGCGCACAATTTAATAACTTGTGCGTAAGAGATACTTTATCATCAGCTAATAAAAGTTAAAAGCCAGATGTTTTTGTCAAAAATTGGAATAGACTTTAATCATGAATTGTTGTAAGATCCACATCCCTACTGGCTATATTATTAGAATTATTCTCACAATCTATGACCTAATGCTTGGATGTGACCAGAGGGCTCATGCTGTAGGCTATGTGCGTTTGTAACAGATCATAGTCTTGGATTTGGAACTACAAAAACAAAGAAAAACGCTGAAATGAGGAAAAGCTGGCCAGAGAAATGGAATGTGCAACATTCCTTGGCACCCCTGGCTACTTTATGCAAAGAAACTTCATCTTCACTCATCACTACAGTTAATGGCATGCTACACTTGTAACGGGGTTGGGCGATTTGTATAATTTTTCCAACCTTCAATTGTCAGTCCAATAACTGACGATAGACGATACATTCGCAGATGTGTCTCTGAGCAACATAATCATGCACCGATTGAATTGTGAACAAAAAAGAAGCCCAATCATGGATATTTTAAATGGAAGCACAGTGCATAGATGTTTGATGGAAGAGAAATTTATATTCTTCCTACTTATTGTTTAATTTTGTATCTGGTCGAGTACGTCACAACGGTTGTTATAAACACGTTTATAGTGTTATAAAGAAGCCTCATCTTTGTTTCCCTGTGGCGCACACCATTGTGGTATTTTATTTTACTTAAATATTTTCTTGTTTTAACATAGGCGTTTGCACCTGGGCGCATTAGTGACTTAGCAGGACAAAATGAAGGGAGTGAAGCATCCTATCAGAGACATTGAGGATCTTTGTGTCTCTGGGAGGAAGCAGAGCCACAAGTGAGCCTCGTGAGGAGAATGGCGAACCTTATTGCAAAGCCAAATGCTACGGCTTTTTACATTACATTAGTGGTTATTTTGGTCTTGATAATGTCGACAATAATATCGTTTATTGTCAATAATTTGTTGAACAGCATTCCAGGTCAAGATGAACCTTAAATTAAATGAACCATGCAAGGATAAATTATTGGGGAAAAGATTTTTATTTTCACACAGGGATTAAGGATGGGTGCCGAATAGAGTTGGCTATCGATTCAAATTTCAAGAGTCGATTTGATTAAGATTCTCAAGATTTAGAACCGATTATTGCAATTCAGTTCAATTTGATATATCCATTCAGGTCAGTGAACTCTTCTTCTTTTTTTTTTGCTGTTACCTGACTATGTAGTTGTGCAGTATATTAAAATTGTAACATTCAACAACAAACTAATGAAATATTAGCAGTTTAAAATGGCTGTAAGGCCCAATCTCTCTCTCTCAGAATGTAACTTTTCACAAACAAGCTGTCTGAATCAGCAAACTGAACCAGGAACAGCCAACAGAAGTAAGATGTACACACAAATGCATCAACGGAACACAAACCTAGGGCATTATGAACAATAAGAAAGTAAGAATCCATCCAAAAGCTATGTGCACACACACACAAACACAAACACACTTATTTTTTGATTTTTATACTGGCCTCACTAAACACAAATGCTTTTTAACCATATTTGTCAGATATATTTTTTGGCTTGAACAGCTTCAGGGTTGACCTTCCCTTAAATGTAATCATTTGGTCCAAGAAAATGTCCATGTCTGGACCACAGATGGCTGAGATACGTGGAATATTCATTTGTGTTGCGCTCCTTGACTTCCATTGACTTCACTTTCCCTCTTATTCTGTCTTAATTAGCTGAGTTTTTTATTGTGATTGTTTTATTTTCAGGATGTTGCTGTGGAGCAGCCCTACAGAACTGATGGACTGGGTGAGGGACCCTAAGAGGCAAGGAGTCTGTACCAAGAGTACACATTTTTTTTTACATCGCGGTATGGAAAAATAGTGTTTTTTGTTGATATGTCAATGCCACTGTTTTGACTGTTTTAAGGTTATTGAGGTTCGTAATATTGCAATATGTTCACAACATGTTCTAGAAACACGATGGTGATCATGTATCATTATTTATCTGGATACTTCTATCCATTGTTTTAAGTAGTTTTTGTGTTCTTTGAATACACAAATGTTCACAGCATGTATACAAAAATGTTGACATGTTATTGCCTGTTTTTATAGATATGGCTATGGCTAGTTGTATTGTAATGTGTGTACAACATGTTCTAAGAACTTAATGATGATTATACTTTTTTGCCAATGTTATCTGTGGATATTTATATCCATTGTTATAGAAATAAATGGGCAAATGTAACTTTTGTTGTCCTAATTTATTTAGTAAGATACAGCATAACATAAATCAAAAGAACACCTGCAATATTTTAACTTTAAAAGACAGTAATGCAATTTTTACTACACAGTTAAAGTACTATTTTTTAGCCAAAAATACTAAACTTGGAATTTACTGTTATTTCATTTATAGTTAAAACACCAATGGTGTAATCACAAGCGCAGCAATTGAAAAATTAAATTTATTTTACAGTGAAACATGGTAGCAAAATTAGTTAATTTATAATTGCAGTAAAAAGGGAAATTCATGCAGTGTTTTGAAGTACGGTTACAATAACAGTACTTTTACATAAACAGTAAAGCACTGTGTGTAGTTACAATTAATTTTGCAGTTATCCCAATATTACTGTAATATAAACAGTAATATATAAAATTTACTGTTAGATTTTGAAGTTAAAATTATGTATACTATAACAAAACATACAGTAATTGTTAGTTACTGTGTTCAGTTCTTTAGTTACAAAATTTTTTTTTTACAATAACTTACTGGTTTATTACTGTGAATTTTACAGTGTGTTTGTTATTTAATTTTCATAGTTACAATCACGTTACTGTAATATTTACAGTGATACACAATATTTACTCTTTTTAATTTTACAGTAAGTCACTGCCATAACACATACAGTAAGTGTTAATTACAGTGTTCAGTTCTACAGCTACAATACTGTATTTTTTTTTACAATAACTTACTTGTCAATTGCTGCCGGTTAATTACTGTGAATTTCACAGTTGCCTTGTTATTTAATTTTACAGTGACAACAATGATACTGTAATATAAAAACCAGTACATGATATTTACTGTGTTATATTTTACAGTAAATAAATAATACTGTAATAGTACATACAGTAAATGTTAGTTACTGTGTTCTGTTCTACAGCTACAACACTGTTATTATTTTTACAATAAACTTACTTGTCAATTGCTGCCGGTTAATTACTGTGAATTTCACAGTTTGTTCGTTACAGTGTGAACATGAACCTTACGGAATTACGTAATCACGTTACGTTGTTATCACGTTACGTTGGTCCAGGCAAATCTTTCTATTGGAAAGATGGACAACTTTTACAAAGAAATCCATCATTACCTCTTTGAAAATACACTTTTAGCATAGAGCTGCATGTATATTAGGGCTGAACGATTAACTGCATGTGCAATTAAATTGCGATGTGACAAAAGGAGATTTTCTAATCTCAAAGGCTTCAATTTGGCAGCGAGTGGTTAGCGCAATGCTAATATACATGGAAAAACCCATAGGAATGCTAATGCTAATATCGCCGATTACATTATTACAAATTATGAATTAGAAACGTGCCAAATGATTACATTTGGAGTCTTATAGAAAGTAAAAATACCATCAATCAAATAAGTACAGACAGGTATTTTAGTAAAGCCAGGAGATTTTCTAATCTCAAAGGCTTCAATTTGGCAGCGAGTGGTTAGCGCAATGCTAATATACATGGAAAAACCCATAGGAATGCTAATGCTAATATCGCCGATTACATTATTGCAAATTATGAATTAGAAACGTGCCAAATGATTACATTTGGAGTCTTATAGAAAGTAAAAATACCATCAATCAAATAAGTACAGACAGGTATTTTAGTAAAGCCAGGAGATTTTCTAATCTCAAAGGCTTCAATTTGGCAGCGAGTGGTTAGCGCAATGCTAATATACATGGAAAAACCCATAGGAATGCTAATGCTAATATCGCCGATTACATTATTGCAAATTATGAATTACAAACGTGCCAAATGATTACATTTGGAGTCTAATAGAAAGTAAAAATACCATCATTCAAATAAGTACAGACAGGTTTTTTAGTAAAGCCAGAAAACTTTTAACTCCAGAGTTTTGGCTAGCAGCTACAGTCTATGACAAGACGTCAAAAACTCTAAACACAAAATACTTAAATAAACGGGACACACTTCTTTCCTGCAAATACAATTTCACAGGTGTTGCTAATACCTATGATTCTTCAAGCCAAGGGATGTGCTCAAAGAGGAGTTCAACATTATGAATAAGATATATAAGATATAGTGTTTTATTTTACAAATACCATTATAAACACAAACTTATGTCTTAAGAAACATTATTTTAATAACGAAAGTGCTAAATTCTTTCCAACAGTATAGATGTGTAGTGCATTTTGTCCGAGTCGGTTTGCCGTACTTTGACGTCATCGGCAGTTGAAGGACCCCGAGCCGATCTTGCACCCGAGCAGATCTTGTACCGACACCGGGAGCAACTCATACCAGGGTATCGTAAGCCTGCATACTGGAGTCTGATGAGGTTTATAAATAAACAACTCTCAAGTTATAAACAACAACAAATTCTTTTACAACCAGATTTCACAATTTCTCTCAGATACAAAGAACGGTTGCTACAACATCTAGCTTCCATCACAACGTCTCACATCCACCACACCACATCTTATTATTCATATCTTGGTAAATGGTAAATGGCCTGTATTTGATATAGCGCCTTCTAGAGTCCTGGAACCCCCCAAGGCGCTTTACAACACAATCAGTCATTCACCCATTCACACACTGGTGGGGATGAGCTACGATGTAGCCACAGCTGCCCTCGGGTGCACTGACAGAGGCGAGGCTGCCGAGCACTGGCGCCACCGGTCCCTCCGACCACCACCAGCAGGCAACGTGGGTTAAGTGTCTTGCCCAAGGACACAACGACAGCGACAGACTGAGCGGGGCTCGAACCTGCAACCTTCCGATTACAGGATGAGCACTTAACTCCTGTGCCACCCGTCACCCCCATATCTTTTCATGTATAAATTATTAGTTTAGAAAAAAGAATTAAATTAATTTTATAAACTATATACTGACTCTGGATTAATACGAAGTGTGTTTATGATCCCTAAAGAAGCAAAGAACCCTAGAATCTTCTGATTAAACATTCAAAGATCAATCAGTTAGATATTTCATATTTATATGGAATATTGCATCTTATTGGTCATAATTAATATGTATTAATTGCTACACCTTCATGAGGAAAACAGCTGATGTTGGTTGCTTCCAGCATCCCTATAAAGACACTGAGTTCAGGTTTAAGGAGCTGCAGACCTGTGATGGTGCAGCCTCTTACGTTCCAGCTCCCAGGCCAGCTCAGTGCAGAACTGCGGCTGCTCTCGGTGCGCCACCGGGTCGGTGGCCAGCTGCTCGCCATCGAAGCTCGCCTGAACCACCACGCTGCGCTGGGGACTCTTTGGGAAGTTGCGACCTAAAAAGGGACAAAATATTGAGTTTCTATCACACCACACAGCAGCTTATGAGCTCTTTTCTCTCCATCAATCGTTTCTAATCAGTTAATCAAAAAAAATGTGAATAAAAAAGGCAGAAGTACAAAACTGTAGACGAAGTTAAAAAGTTTGTCAACTCACAGCTGATCTAAGGAACTTCAAATCAACCCACATCTTACCTGTGATGAAGACATCTAGGATGTGGAGCAGGACCTAAATGACCCCGATGACCCTCTGGAGGATCAGTTCATCTGTTAACTAGTTCGCGTTAATAAAATTAATTTCAGGTTAAAGCTAAACCGTTTCTCTCCACTTTTCTCCTTAAACTGAACAAACTCATCAGTGAAACTAATCATTTCATCTCCGTGGTTACCCGGATGTCACGAGCTGCAGCTCAGCCGCACCGGTGAGTTTTTTTAATGTGAGAAAACACGTCAGTTGTCTAATGTCTTGTTTTACTGAGCTAAAGCTCCAAAACACGGAGCAAACATTTTTATTACCTCAGTGTTTTATTATTTATATTTGCCACCTTAGCCAAAATGACTATTTAAATATAAAACTTCCCCAGCAGACACTTGAACCTGAATAACTCAGGTGTGTTAATGACGGGCTGCATTCCCCTCACGGGAAGTTGCGTTAGAGGCGGAACGCAGCCCGTCACTAATACACCTGCAAGTTTACCTCGTTTAGACCAAAACTGTGATTAACTTTACAAAAACAAGCCAACGACCAACAATTAAGAAAAACGTTCACTCGAAGCGTTTAACATGCTGAAACTCAAGATTCAAACCCCCCTAACACAACAACACTCTAGAAAACTGCTCTTAACAGCTGACACACAAAAAAAATCGAAGGCTAACGCCGAGCAGCTATCCGCCTTCAGAAGCTGAAATTCGGACGCAAACACCGAAAGTCCCGCTGTTTATCCCGTAAAAACTCACCTTCCAGAATCGAAACAACGATAAGAAGTTGGTCTGATTTCCCGCTCATGCTGACATTTGAGCTTCAAAGTAAAACTTCCAGCCAAACAAAGACTTGGTGTTTTTAACTGTTAACAGTAGTGACTGGAGGAGAGCTGTCCGTTAGCGACGCTTTGGCGCCACCCATTTTGGTTTTGTTCAAACCGGAAGAGACGCTGGAGCCTCACGAGCGCCTCTGCTGGCCGGAGGTGGAACAGCAACGCAGTTAAATATATGGGGGAAATGGGTTGGGGAATAAAAAAGCAAAACAAAAACCAAATGAAATACACAGATTATGCACCTCACATCTAGATGAGGGTAAATGTGATTCAAGTTGAGGAATTAAATAAGAAAAAAAGTTGAAATTATTTCCTTTTTCCATATTGTCTTATTTTATGTATTAGGAATATGGAAGAGTACATGTGAAAATTTATGTTACCTGTTTTTTAATTGTTTGAGATTAAAAAAAAATTAAAAACAAAATTTTCAGCTCCTAAAGTAACGTAAAATAATCTTGGTCATCTTGAGAGCTACAACTGATCTAGTTTTAAACTGTTTTAGGGAAAATGTCAGTAAAAACAATTACAGGTTTAAAAGTATATTAAATAAAAAAAATACAGTTAGCAATCAAGAACGACAATACAGCACCAACTGTTTGGGTGCATTTAGCCCTATTTTTATGGACTTTTTAGGTATTCAAAATGTCAAATGTAAAGGTGTTACAGTATTTGCCTGCTATTTTCTCTTCCATTAAAAAATATTTAGGTTCAAGCGTTGAATCAACCTTTTACACAAAATCCTCTTAAATGTTTTTCTTTAATTCAAGCAGGACTTTCCTTAAAACTAAGTTCAAATAAAAAGTATGTATGGTTGATGGTTAAAACAAAGCAAAATGTTTTTAAAAACCCACCAACAAGCAGCAGCTATATATAAACATCCTTTAATCATGATTGCCAAACATAGGAATTAAGGCATATACAGTATAAAAAAAGCAACAGCGGGATTTATGTTGGAGCGGTTTCTGAGTGTTATTTACTGGACTCACCAGGTGGATGAGCTGAACAAACCAAGCAGCCTTTATAAGACAACACGGTGTCTCTCAGAAGTAGACAGAACTGTGTAAACAGAGTTCATAACACTATATTCAAGTAATAGAATGAGCACTGGCACTATGCAGGTACGGTGTTGCGTAGGTGAGGCAGAGCCGCGGATAGGTTCAGTCCAGCTTCGGGATGTTTGTGTAGCCGGGTCGGGTCAGGACAGCTCTGAACCAGCTTGTAGGGATAAAGTTAAGGAAAACTAAACGATTCTGAACTATATGCTCTATGAATTACACCTCACTGGGCTCGTTTCTCCGCTGTGTGTTCCAGTGGCGTGTCCAGAAATGGGGTGGCCCAGGTGAGGCACAACTTTGTGCAGGGGTGGCACCAATGGTTATGCTTTTTTTGTTTTACCCCCAAGCCTTTTGTGGACAATGAAAAGCCTATTTAAATGTGAATTAGTGTGGTGGCACCTGGGGTGGCCAATCAGATTCCAAGGGTGGCATGTGCTACCCCAGGCCACTCCCTGGACACGCCCCTGGTGTGTTCGTAGACATGGAAAATAAGGTTTAGTGAAACCACGTGATCATATAACCGCTGTGTGATGAATCGGAGCAACAAGTCCTGCAGCCATAAATGTGCAAACATGCAGAACTCAAGGTTGGTTACAGGATTATTTACAACAGTCCAACGGTGCTTCTGTTGGGGACAACTTAGAATAAAAACACGTAAAAATGGCTCCAAATATTCGACTTCCCAGAAAACATCTATTAAACCTTTACTCAGATCATTATGGTGCCAGTTTTAGGATAAATATTTCACAGTTGTAAGGTTTGGCAGTGGTGCAACACCAGAGGTAAAAGCCGACTGTGTTTATCAGAGGCTCTGCTGTGAGCTAGTTAGCTTACAGGAAGCATGGGGGCGAAGGAAACGGAGACTCCAGACAAACCAGAATCCACTCATCGCTGATAAAACCCTAAAATCATCCGTTTAGCGTCCCTTTAGACCCAGTTTTCATCACACAGTTTCAAAAAAGTATAAAAAAAACCATAATCCAATCAGAAACGTTTGACTAGTGAAACAGCAGGTACGTTTTTTATAAATTTAACATTGAAACAGCTTTCATTCTAACAGCGAAGCTACTTAGTTTTGGGTGTAAGTCCTTGATTTACCCGAGTTACCAGATTCTGTCAGAAAAGTCTACAAGTCTTCATTTAGCAGAGGAGAAAGGAAACTCTGTGGTTTCTGTATTTTACCAAGGTTCAACACTGAAAACAGCTGATCTGGAGTCAGAGACGCGAGTAAAAGGATGGAAGTAAATATTAGGCCAAACTGCTGATTATTTATTTCTTAAAAAACATTAAGTGTCACATAAGTTTATTGGGCTGAATTAGAAGTCACGAAACAAAAATCTGATTTAGCATCACATTTAGGAATTAGATCTAAAACTTGGGAGAGCGTTTGGGATTGGTGTGAAGTTTGTTTTCATAGTGAGACTTCTGATGTTTGGGAGTGGATTCCTGTAGGAATGTTTTAATAATGTGAGCTAACTCAGTATGAAGAAACAGAGATCAGCTGGGACTGAACAGAAAAGCTAACCGCTAGTCACTAAAGGACTAGTTAACTCTTTGACCTGCTGGTCAGCCACTGGACAGAGAACATTTTAGTTCCTTTATCTTATTAAAGAGCAAGCCACCCCCTACCAGAGTATTACCGTAATTTCCGGACTACAGAGCACACCTCAATATAAGCCGCACCGGGCTAAAAGCCGCAGATATCTACTGAATAGAAAACGTAGTTTAACTGAACGTAGCTGAACTGATCAGTATCAAACAAAACAGAAAAGTTATTGATTAGTTGATTCATCGTCCTCCTGCGCACTGAAACCACTGAAGTCATCATCTTCTTCAGTGTCGGAGTTGAACAGCCTCAGAAGAGCTTCGTCACACACCTTTTCTGTGGCGATGTCGGTGTCGCTCTCCGTGTTGCTGTCATCATCCCGGGGTGAAGCTGGGAAAACAAGCAGCGCCGTTTTACTGTGAAAAAAATCCTCCTGGGCGCTTTCTGTAGCACTCCTTTAACCATTCCTTCATTAGACTTTCCAGCATCCATCCTTTCTGGTTGACTAAAGCCGCACCTCATTATAAGCCTCATGGTTCAAAGCGTGGGAAAAAGTAGCTTCTTAAGCCTGGTTCATGCTTCTCCGTCAGCTCCGCAAGGGACAGACACGCACGGATTGACGGAAGCGTTTTGCTCTTTTACTTCTCCGTCTCCTGGGGAGCGTTGCAAAGCAATTCCCCGGCAGGACACCAGAGGGCGTAGCGCTGTTCTGTGGTATCCTGTCATGTACCGGTCCAAGATAGTGTGTTTATATTTTTTGTATATAAGAGACTTAACACAGACAAGTTTGTCTCTCATTCTCCTCCACCTCTTCATGCGCTCGCCACCTCTAAACCCACGTTTCCTGTCGTTTCCGTCCACAAATAAAACGCTTGCTGCACATCTTTTCACTCCTCCAGTCACGGGGGAATTAAATGTTCATGTTTTTAGTTTTTTCGCGAGGTATTCTTCAAGCTTCTCCGTGTCTGCTGCTAGTTATCCTCGGCTCTCTTTATGTTTTTGAGAGCACAATGGCGGCGGTGTAGACGACAGCGGCGTCCTGACCAATCACAAGCTTGCGTTGTCCGCCTCGACTGACGGATGTTTAGAAAAGAGAGCTTGACTCCATCCGTCCTTGCGGAGCTCTCAGGCAGGCCCGCAAGGACGCTGCGTGTCTCCGCACTGACGCAGACGGAGAAGCATGAATCAGGCTTTATAGTCCAGAAAATACGGTACTCAACTCCCACTTCCTGTTTGAAAAATGCAACAAATGCTGTTGCCTAGCAGACCAAGAGGGCGGAGCCGCTAACAAATACACAAACGCACAGGCTCACAACGACATCGTGACATCATATGGTACCAGCTAACATTCTAGGGTACCTCTTAAGCCTGATTTATGCTTCTCCGTCTGCGTCAGTGCGGCGATACGCAACGCCATTATCCGTCCTTGTGTAGGGATCCGGCAGGCACGCAAGTATGTACGGAGTCGAGCCCACTTTTTTAAACATCCGTCGAACGAGATGGATTACGCAAGCTTGTGATTGGTCAGGATGCCGCTGTTGTTTACAGCACCGCCATTGCAAAGAGAGCCGAGGATAACTAGCGGCAGACACGGAGAAGCTTGAAGAATACCTCGTGAAAAAACTCTAAAAACATGAACGTTTCATTCTCCCGTGACTGGAGGAGTGAAAAAATGCGCAGCAAGCGTTTTATTTGTGGACGGAAATGACAGGAAACGTGGGTTTAGAGGTGGGGAGCGCATGAAGAAGTGGGAGAATGAGAGACAAACATGTCCGTGTTAAAAGTCTCTTATATACACAAAAAACACAATATAAACACACCATCTTGGACCGATACATGACAGGATACCACAGAACTCAATTTCCATTGAGTTCTGTGGTATCAATTTCCCTCTGGGATTAATAAAGTATTTTTGAATTTGAATTGAATTGAATTGAACAGCGCTACGCCCTCTGTTGTCCTGCCGGGCAATTGCTTTGCAACACTCCCCAGGAGACGGAGAAGTATGAAAGCAAAACGCTTCTGTCAATCCGTGCGTCTGTCCCTTGCGGAGCTGACGGAGAAGCATAAACCAGGCTTTAGCCAATAGCGATGGCAGATTTAAACTCAAATGCAGTGCAGAGTTTTTACCTGACAACGGCACAACACTGACAGTTTTAGGCAGAAAATTAAAATTTTAACTAAAATGCACTAAAGTGCAAATCTATTGACTACACGTGTCTACAGCACGATTAGACACTCATTTATATAGTTTATCAGAAAAAAAAAAGTTGATCTGGGGGTGACTTGCTCTTTAAATCAATGAGCTCTGCTTAAAAAAGGAAAACTATGAAAGTGTTTAACGTCATCACCTTAGTGTTAATAATGGTTTCATAACCTATACTAAACCGTTACTACCCCACGTCTGTTTCCCCAAACTCATGTCTGATGTTACTCTGAAGCTTTTCCACCTCAAAGGGTGCGAGCGGTTACATTAACGTCATCACACAGTAAATCGGTGACGCAGGAACATGACGCAGACGTGGAAGCCTCCTTGTGGTTGGCTGCAGTATAAGGTTAAAGCCCCGCCCCCTGAATGGGACTACTGTTTTCTTGTGTTCAGCCATTCATTTTGATTTCAGCTGTGATCACTGCTTTGATGCAGGGGAGTATTTTAGATCTGGAGCTCCTTTAATCGGGATGGTTTGGCGTGGCTTTTCTACAGCCGACGTCGACGGGAACGCTTCGTTTCTGGGTCGGTAAAAAGGTCGCATCTTATGTTTGGAATCAGTCGGGTTCTTCTGCTTCGTTCTTTTATATCAGTTGTGCTAAATAATAAATTTAGCATCCTGTTTACCAAACAAAGTGCTTCCATAACATGCTGCTGGTCAGACATGCAAAAAGGGGTAGGAAGTGGTTTTGGTTCTACTGGACCTCCCCGCTTGGCCCTCAGCGCCTCCTCTGCTCAGCTGATGGTGATCGACATAATAAAGCATAAATCTGTACAGAATATTTACACCACTGGGCTCCTAAATGGCACTGAGCGGGTCGATGTGAAGGTTTGCTCACATAAAGACGATACAATCAACAAGCTCAAGTACAGGTTAGAATACAAATGTAGCGTCAGCACTATGGAGGAAGGAGGACCACTTCAATAATCAGAGCGGGAACAAGCGTCAGGGACTTTTGGCTTCCTGATGCCGCTTTTCTCCCAACAGGAGCTTTAAAAAAAAAGGTCCACACAGCTGGAACAGTGTCATCAGTACATTCAGTCATATCTTCATAGTACACTACAATAAATGTGCGTTTTATAAAGTCGGACACACAGCGGCTGTAAAGCTGAGTGCACGGCGCTCTAGGACGTCTCAAAGATTTATACAGGTTGACTCCTCCCTCCACCGGCTCCTCCCTTATAAAACTGGTGGCTCATTAGTAAGAAATGAAAGAGTTTGTTTGTTCTCTGCCTCTCAGCGAGGCGAAGCTTATTCAACACCAAGGAACTGATGTCTGATAATTTCCTCATGTGAGACGTGGTCACATGGTCCTACTTGTTCCCTTCGCCGTCTGTGGAGACAAAAAGAAATCCAGACTGAAATCAGAAGGTTGTGTTCAACGGGAGGCAGATTAACGAGTCCGGGTTTGTTTACGACGGGTCCGACGAGGTGGAGCGTTCAGAGGAACAATCCCTGGGAATCAAACATCTCAACATGTCATGTTGCACGCGTGTCGCCCTGGGCTTCCCTAAAGGCAGTGGAAGGTGCTTCGTTAATAGTTTGACTGATAGAATATGAGTGTACACTCAATATGGCTGTTCACCTGTTTCCTAAAGGAAAACGTTGCATCTTTATCAAATGCTGAATTAAAAATGTTTACAATAAATCCTAAGGTGGACCTCAGAATCTCAGACCACTTCCTGGGAGTTGAAACCAGTGGTGGCGCCAGGGAGAGGGTGCTCGCTGCAGAACCACAAAGGCGGAGCTGCACCAGAGTCAGCCCCGCCCATTCACGCAAACTCAGCCTAGCCCACTGGCTTCTTCTTTTTTTATTTTATCACAAACTAACCTGACCCGCATGCATTACGGCTGTTACTAGTTTACAAATGTTAATGCTATGTTCTATGCTCCAATGAAGCCAGATAAATATAACTTGCTACAAAGCCTGAATATATCCCGAAATGAAAAGGTTTCTTTTAGTAAATATCTGCCCACAGCCGCTCCAACAAAAGCGGTCTACGACACCATAGAAGGATAACTTTTGTCGTGTGGGCTCTGGTAGCCTACTGGCATGATCATTGACCTTATGTTTTGCTTTCCCCTCTGCTGACGTTGGTTCAACTCTTGGTGGGGTCGGCAGCAATCTATTTAGCCAGCTGAAACATTTAATTTGTTTATATTTTAGTTGTAATGTTTATTTTCTGCAAAATATTTATGTCTCTAAAAGTTCTTTGAATTTGGTCGTTCCTAAACAACATTTTAGTTGAAACTCTGCTCACAAATGGACTCACACTGGCTAAATAAACGAATAAATAAAAAAAACAAACACATGAGTCATTATATTTTAAACGGTATACCAATAAATGGTTAAAAACATAGTACTGGCAAGTGTAGCTAGAAAGGAAGAAAAAGGTTTGCGCCGCTACCGGGAGGCGAACCTCCGCAAAACTACATGCCAATCTGACTCCACAACCACTTCACCGCTACATCTGATAACAAGCTAGTGGCGTCACATGTAATTGTGCCATCCAGTGTGTCTTTGTAGATGGGATGTATGGTTTTTCCACCGGTGTCTCAGTAGAAGTCATTTCAGAAATAATTTGTCAGCAAATTCACAGAATATCCAGATTTGAGAACCAAGACCAGACCCGCTTTGGAGGAGACCAAATTGAAGCTGAGATGGGAGGACAATGAGTGAATGAGGCCAAAAATGGCTTTGGTGTGTTTCTTATGAGGAAATGACAATATAACACGGTAAAAAGTTCCAAAAGTTAGATTTTTAATTATATGGAACCTTTACAAAAACTGTTCAATTAACTTCTCAACTCCATCCTCAATCTAGCATTTTAGATGATATTAGCTAGAACACCCTAAATGGTTCCAGAATGCTATCAAGTCTGACAACTGGAAGGAATTGGACTGACTGATGGAATGGGCGGGGCTGACTCTGGTGCAGCTCCGCCTTTGTGGTTCTGCAGTGAGCACTACTTGGCGCCAGGGGGCGCTATAGCTACCCCTGGATTAGTCATTGCACCCCCATAGCACCCCTAGATTTTTTTTTTTTACAATTTAATTTTAACGCATGGATGTGTTAATATTTAGCATACAAAACAAAAATAATCAGTAAATTATCATATAGATAGTAAAAACTTAAACCAAAACAGGAAATTGATGTTAACCTTTGACCTCATTTTCCACCTGTGAACGAGTGAAAGGTAGAGCTAGTGGTAAAACGGATCGGTTTTTGTTGCCCACATTTCCACGGGTTCAGTCAGGAACGATCGAATCTTTGGAAGTGATCTCAGACCCACAAAAACCTACGGATCTGGATGAAGAGAGTCAACCCTCAACCGCCGCAGCAGTCCAGGGTTTTGCCGCTGGAAATGCTAACGCTAACGTTAGCTAAACTTGCAACACTATAGACGGTTTTCTGTGTGGCTGTATGTGTTTATGACTTCATGGAAAAGTCAGCAATTGTTCATGTGTTTATGATGTATATTAATGATTGTTTCAGGTGTTGTTCAGGTGTTGTGCACGCATGTGTATCTGCTAGTGTTGAAGGTGTTTTAGAGAACAATAGGTACGCATGACCACTTCCTTCATAGCACCCTCAATAAAAAGACTAGCTCCTTCATAGCACCTGCAGAAAAACATTTCTGGAGCCGCCACTGGTTGAAACCTACCTGCTGACGGGTGTCTTGACACCTGCTGACTGGAGACCAGCGACCTGGAGCTCAGACCTTCAGGACAGAGACCCAGAGTCACAAATCTGTTAAAACCCAGAAAGAGTCTAAAATTCCTGCTTTAATCCCAAAGAAACAACCAGAAGACAGATCCCTTCTCCTCCTGAGTTAACGGAATAACTTTAGTTGGATTATATCACACTGATGTCTTTTACCATGAGAGAAAAGCTGATTATCAGGGTCATGTTAGTAAACCAGCAGGGTCCCACAGGTCTGCAGAAGAACGTCGGTACCTTGGTAGATGTCGTACTGTCCGGACATCAGGTTGTAGCTCACGCCCAGGTGTGTGTGGTGGTGTGTGTGGAGGTGTCGGGCGAACGACACGTGGTTCCTCTCTCGCTCGAGCTCTCGTTCTCCTTCGGGGGAACCTTTCTCACCAGGCTGCTCACAACCAACAAAGATTTTTATTAATGTACAAACCGAGCCAATCCAGCTAATTTAATAACACAAAAATATTCTGAAAAACAAAATATCTGAATATTTCCATCGTTATGTTTTTTATATCAGGAAATGATGACATCACCAGGTTCTTACAGCTCCTACAATACGATCAAATTACCTCAAACTAAATAAATATTAAAAATCTGGCAAAGGAAATTAGAGCTCTTCCTCATTCTGGCCAGCAGTTTGGCTCCTCCCCCTGTCGCTGATCTGACTTTGGCTCCTCCTCCTGTAACTGATCACTAGCTTAGCTCTTCTTCATACAGCTCACCAGCTTCTCACCCGAACACTCATTTCTTTTCCTTTTGTGCTAAAGTCATGTTGCTAGCAAAGCTAAGCTGAAATGTGCGACTCGGGTTTAGCTGATGGTCCAATCGAACCTCCTTCAGCAGCAGAAACTCTCAGTGATCACGTTCTCACCATGCTTCTGGAGTTCTGGCTCCCGTTTCTTCTCTGTTTTATCATTTAGTTTCTGCTCAGCTTGACTCTGACTGGATCACAGTTCTGTTTTCTGACACGGTTTGATTTGGTCCACGTTCGTGTTCATACAGGAGCTCTGACAGACGACCAGCTGTGAGGATAAAACTGTTTTTTCTAGGAATGCAACGATACCCCCTTTTTTCCAAACCGATAGTTGGATCCGAGTACTAGCCGATACCGATTACCGATACTTAGGGATGGGTACCTTTGAATCGATTTGGTCCTAATTCCCGGTACCTAGGAATCGATACCGGTACTTAACGGTACCAATTTTCGATACTTTTGAGTGTTTAATATTTAAATTCTCTTTTATAATTAAATATATATTTTTCTCAATATATAACAATATTTGATAAATATCACGATAAATAACATACAACTGTTTGTATTTTAACATCGTCCTTGTAGTTTTATAAGCTGATAATTAAACTGAAGCAAACATCTTTACTGTGAACTAAATTTACTGTGTATCTTCATTCCTTTTGCCGTCTTTTTTTCATTTGATTTTTCCTACTGGGAAGCTAGAATTTCCGAGGAGAAAGCGAACGCACCATTAGCTGATAACAACGGTGGCAATGGAAGCTAACATATCAAGCTAACGTTATTGTAAACAGTTTATTTAGCTGCTGGAGCAGATTAAAACGATGATGCCTCACACTTAGATCGTTGTCGCTGGTTTCATCTTCACCCAATCACCCGTCGCATTTAGTAAAGTGAAGCCAAACTTTAGAGCGCGTTCATGTTCTTCTAGTCGGAAATTCGGAGTTCCGAGGAGAAAGCGAACCATTAGCGGAACGGAAGCTAACATATCAAGCTAACGTTTTCTTAAACATTTGATTTACCTACCGGAGCAGATTAAGATGAGGATGTCTCACTTAGATCGTTGTCGCTGGTTTCATCATCACCCAGTTACCCATCACATTTAGTGAAGTGGACCCAAGCTTTAGCGTGCGTTCTTTCTACCATGCTGCTCTGTTTACAACTCGCTCGCAGCGACCGACGACGTAACGCTCTTGCGCATGCGCAGCCGTCTAGGCAAGTTCTCGTTATGAAGGACGGGTACCGAAACGAGGCACCGTTTCAAATGATGTGAATCGGTGCTCAGTCGGTACTATGGAATTCGGTCGGTACCTTAAAAAGTACCGAATTCGGTACCCATCGCTACCGATACTACTACTGCACAAAAAAGTGCTATGATTTGGAATACAGACTTTATTTTCTTCTCTGCTTTCAACAGGAAAAGACTGTGAGGTAGATAAAAACATAAGTATATGAATAGAAATCGTCACAAAACTAAAATATTAGGTGAACAGAAATGACAAGTTACAGTGAAGTAATGATCAAGCAACTGCATTGGTATCGGTTCCTGTATCGGTTAACTTTTACCAATACCGATACTGGAATCTGTATCGGCATCCCTAGTTTTTTCTATATTTGGCATTTTGGTATCTCTGTATAGAAGTTATCCACCACCAATCAGATCGTTGGAATACAAACATAAATAAAAGTGTAATGATTTGGGATGAGTATCACCTGGTTACTTAACCCGTTAACCAGCAGGTGTGGATCTTTTAGCTAATTGAAAATAACCCAATAACTAAAATGCATTTTAAAAATGGTAATGTTTGAATTAAAAGTAAAATCTTATTCAGTTTCATATAACCTTAATGTTAATATAATTATTGTGATTTATTATTTAAATTCTACATCTCATTGCCCAAAAATGAACGTTTCCTGTTGTGGAGGTCAAAGGTCAGAAGAAAATCTACCTAGATGATCAAACATCTGCAGCTTTTTCTATCTGATGATTAAACTTCCTTCTGTTTCTCTTTAGACCGGTGGCGTTTATCTGCGAGACATCGGGTCTCTCAGCTGTGGGTGCGTGTGGGGGAGAACCGAGCGCTCGCTCACAGCGGGGGATTTCCCGTGGAACTGATAGCTCGGCTGCTGCAGCAGCTCTACACTGGAGGACGACGATTCGCCGATCAGCTTCCCACTCACTGCCTCTCCTCTACCGCCTGGAGATGCCTCCGACTCCTCCCGTCCCGCCGTCTTCCCGTACAGAGGATAGTGGAAACCTGGAGAGAACCAGACACGTGGGAATTTAATCTGAAACGCTGGCTTCAGCAGAGGTCTACTACCTGAGGCTCTGGAGCCACACGTGGCCCCCTCCTCCTCTTAAAGCGGCTTCTTAGACAAAAAAATTAAACAATCAGAGGGATGTTTCTATTTACTGAATCTTGTATCAAATGAAGCCATTTTACAGAATAAAAACTGTCAGAATTAAATCTGAAGACAGTCGTGTTCCAGAGCAGAACGGGGTTCCCTGGAACTAAACTAGCAGAAAACAGATGGGTGCTTTTCATTCATGCTTGGAGTGTTTATAGAGGCAGGAGAGGCCCTCATGTCGGCAAAAAGATCCAAAACACGAGATTTCCATAATATGTCCCCTTTAAAGGTACTTTACGGAGTTTTGAATTTTTATGCTTGCGATTGCCCCCCTCAGGCCAAAAACGTAATGGCAGCTTCAATAGTAGGCTCGTGCACGAGGTGTGCATGCTGTACGTGCACACTCCTTAACGAAAATAACAGCTGAGACAGTCCCTTGTGTGTGTGTGTGTGTGTGTGCGCGTGTGTGTGTGTGTGTGTGTGTGGCCCAGAGGACAGAGGACAGGAGAACGCGCAGCTAATTAATTAAATAATTTGGTTCTGTAGCTTTCTCTTCAGCACAGCCGACAAAGGTTTATGATGGGTCAGTCCTCCTGCATGCTCAGATCATTCCCTTCCCTTGCTTGAAAAATTGTTCCAAAATGAAAGTTGAACCCACATCTTTTTAATCTGTGAATTCAATGCCATTCGACGAGTCTCAAATAAAAATTTGGGCAACTTACTGTAAAAAACAATTTACCATTAATGTAAAAAAGAAACACTAAATAAACTACGTTCACATCCAGAATCGAACCTGAGTCTTCTGCATGAGAGACAGACATCTTACTAGGTGAGCTAAAGCACCAGTGACGTCTTTGTATCTGTAACATTTATATCCTTGATGACAGCTGAAACAACGTTCAAAGAACGGTTCCGAGCGAAAATGGCTATTTTGTTGCTAATTTGCAGGAAATATCTAGAAGAAAGTTCTACAGAAAGTAGCTAAGGGTCCTCAGAAATGTAGCTAGCTTTGTCACTAGGCGTTAGGAACAGCGACAAAGTGGCACTGCCTCTCTCTCTGCTGCTAAAGCTACGGATAGCAAATGCTACAGGCTATGCCTGAGCGTGAACGCGCATGAAGCAGCCTGCTCGACCCGAGCATCTCTCTTTTTCTGTGATTTTACAGAAAAACAGGCAATCACAGTAAAATGCCAGGGCTCATTCTACAGGACAAGGGCATTGCAGGAGAATGTATGAAGAAGACATTTATTATTTCTATACATGTTTTGGCTGTCAAACTTCCATAATGCCCCTTTAAAGTCTAGCATCGCCCCCTGCTGGTCATAAAATCAAATGCAGGTTGAGAAACGGTAAGAAAATCTCTAATTAGCAGGATTTGTGTTCATTTCACCAACATCCATAATGGCTGAAGACTCTTACCTGGGTAGTTGTGGACCAGGGTCGGGGACACTCCTCTGTAGGCGCCCCCGCCGCTCTCACACATGGCTAGGTATGGGGGGTAGGAGGAGTGCTGGTACTGGATGTACGGCTGCTGAGGGGTCATGGGAGGAGACACTGCCGCCCGGGCGCTTTGCGATTCCTCCGACAGCCCTTCCATTGGTTCCTGGTGCTGATCCTCCAGCTGGTCTGAGTCCTCTGTGTCGATGGCGGGTGGGGGATCATGGATTCCGTAAGCTCTGGCTTTTTTAGCATCTACGCCTGAGGTCATCTTGGCCCCAGCAGGCTCTGTGGTGGCTCCCCACTCTTTCCCACTGTCTGCCTCCCCCTCCTCGACACTCTCCCCGTGTTGACTCTGTAGCTCTGAGTATTTGCTGTGAGCCAGGCGGTGGGCCCAGGCGGGGACGTCTGAGGGCTAGATTGATGGGGACAAGTGTTGGTGCTAGTTCAGTGTTTCCCCTATAGGTCTTTAACAGTGGTGGGTGGGAGCCATTTTGGGGTCAGTTCAACTCTGGTCCAGGTCTCAGTCAGCTGCCGGGGTAAAACTCTACACCTTTTATCTAAACATTAACAAATTGTCTCTTTAGGGAAAAAAAAGGATAATTTATGACTTTCATCTGAACATTCATTAGTTCTTTTTGAAACGGTGGGGGCTTTCTCTCTGCCGGGGCCCACCGCTGCTGAACGACTATAGAGGAAACACTGTCAACAGAGCCAAAGAAAGGCCGTCTATCACTGGCTCTGGGTGAGATGTAGATGGAGAATGACGACGTTTCAACAGCAGGCGGCCATTCAGCGGTGAGATGTGAGGTAAGCGGCGTCCCTCTCAATGACAAAGACACGTCTCACATACGATCAAGTGCACAGTTTAGAGCAATTTGGAGGAAAAAACAACAACCTCTCAGACACGGCTTTCATTCCATGTTTTCTATTCAAGATGGCGGCTGGCCTTACTGTGAGATGGTAAAAATCTGTACAAGCCTTTCTGCTCGTGTCAAAACCACGTTTGTTCTGTTACGGCTGAAGTTGTAAAAGCACATTTCCTCCAGTTATTCTCGCTCTAAACATTGGGAACACTGGACAGAAGTCAGGAGAGCTAGAGCAGCACAGAAGCCACATGGTCCTTGACATTAGCGCCAACAACGTGTGGTTAATCTCAGGAAAGCACACCAACAACACCATCAGCGGCGGCGGCGGTTATAAACAGAGGGAGAAACTTACACTGGAAAAGGAAACATTTGAGTCCAGATCTGTCTGACTGACTGGATTGTGGAGTGATGAAGAGGAGGAGGAGGAGGGTGACTTGATGTCATCACAGTCTTTCATTGGGACCTGGTGCTGGTCCGCCATTCCACTGTGCACCACCTTTACGCCCAGACTCTGCCCCCTTTCTCCCCTTTCACTCATCTCCACATAGGACAGCACGGGTTTGGAGCAGCAACCTTTAGCACCATCTGGACCTTTACCTAGCATGGGTCCACCGGGGGAAACCCCAACCACCTCGCCGTCTCTCACCCCCTGTCCTCTCTGCTTATGTGTCTGGTCGCAGCATTTGGAGGCCATTAACAGTTTCTGGTCCATGTACATTCCTCTGGAGTACTGGCCGTAGTACAGAGACTGGGCCAAAGCCGTCTGGGTCTGACTCATAGCCAGCTGGAGCTGGGACTGGGGCGGCCCGTCACCTTTCTTGGAATCAGAGAAGTTGTCCTCCTCCTTCAGTTCCTCTGTCCTGTCCTTCCCCTTGCAGTCATGAGTGGAACTTTTGTAGAAAGCAACGCCGCTGGTGTTCTGCCTCTCGGACTGCATGTAGCCTTGCAGGTAGTAGGGATCGTAGCCGTGGTAGTATGGGGACTGGGGCTCTTTTGATGACTGGGTCGAAACTGTAGGGGGGGGTTTACCGACGTTACCATGGCTGCTGTTGGAGCTCACCTCAGAGGAAGACGAAGAGCCCGACTTAGACCTGACCCCATCTGAGCGACATTCGGACGAGCCACCATCTTCTCCGGCATCTGAGATGTCCGAGTAGGCGGGACTGTTGTTCTTGCTGCTGCTGTCTGCTGCGGCCAGACAACTGCCACTAGAGTCCAGTCTGGATGAACCACCGATAGATGGACTAGGGGCATTGTCAGTGAAAGTGTAGACCTTATCAGCCTCTGCACGTATACTGGCCATCCTGCTCTCCTGGCTTTCTGTGAATCCATTAGTTACATCCTGCTTACTAAGATGCTCCTTCAGAAGGCTTCCAGAGATTTCCTTGACACTGATTTTAGGTCCAGCACCCCCATCCTCCATTTTGATTCCACTACTGTCACCATTGGGTGTCCTGTTTGGTGCATCTTTGCTATGTTTGTCTTTCAGCCTCCGTTTTTCTTTTTTCCTGGTCTCTTTGCAAGTAACCATAGTGGCTTTGACGAGACTCGGTTCCACAATGATGCTAAGCTTTGGTTTGATGGGTTTCAGGGGAAGGTTTTTACTGGTGAGGCCTCCTGATGCCGTGGGAGAAGGCTGTGGGGTGACAGCATCAGCCGTGCAGGTCGAGTACGTTGTGTTGGGGATGGCGAGGAGCTTTGGTGGAGCGGGAGCTGGAGCGATTGGCCGGTTGGTTCTGGACTTGGACAGCTTGTCGACCTTCCCGTTGGCCTTCTTGCCCTTATCACATGGCCCTCCCTTCTTTTCAATCAATCCTTCAGCTTCCAGTTTGGGCATCTCTACAAAGGAGCTCCTGTCTGGGACCATGCAGTTCTCTAAAACCACAGTCATGTTGGAGATGATGGGTAAGTTGCTGAGGTCATCAATCAGACCATCTTTCAGGAGTGAGGTTCTTCTGGTTTTGGAGTTGGCCGAAGGGCTGTGGTCGGTGCTGAGGAGTAATCGTCTGTTCTTCGGTGACCCCACCGTGGTCACCTTATAGAGAGGAGCAGCTTTCTTAGTGGAGCTGTTGGCGTTTGTGCTGTTTTCCGGGAGCTCATAAGTCATGTTGTTGATGGCGTCCTCGCAGTCTGAAAGTCGGTCTTCACTCTCCCCATCCTTCACAGGTCCCAGATCAGGTTTCCTTTGCTCCTCAGCCTCCAGGTGTGCGTGCGTCTGGTGGTAGCGCAGGCCGTTGATGTGCTTGTAGCGTTTAGTGCAGTTTGGGTGAGGGCAGTCGATGAGGATGGGCGGGGGAGGAGAAGAGGCGCAACCTCCTCCTGGATCCATGAAGGAGGGGTCAGACTTGCCTAGTGGTGTTGACGGAGCGCTTCTGGACTTTGCTCGGATCCTCTTCCCGTTCCCATTCTTAATGTCGTCTGAGGAGACGAGACTGAGGTCCAGGTCGGCGGGCGGTTTGTTCTTCCTCTTCCCAGAGGACAGCGAGGAGGTGCTACTGGCACTTTTCACCTCATCTACCGTGAAGAAAGAAGGAGGTGCTCTGCAGCTGCTGTTTAGGTTCAGGCTGCCTCTCCTCCCCTTGCTGTGGATGGATGTGGGAGTTCCTGCCACTCCACCTCCACGGCTCCGGTGATGGGTGAAACCCCTGACTTTGGCTGTTGAAGACGGTTCAATGCAGGGCCGCTCAGCCATGGCCATTCGCATCCGCTTCCCCCGCCCACGGCCACCAGGTAACTCGGGATCACTGCAAGGTGACTCACAAAACCTGGAAAGACAAAAAAAACCACTGGTCTTAAAAGATGATACTCGTTATTGACACCAAGCTTTTAAATATATTGTAGTGGCACATGTTCAGTTTAGGTTTGCAGTTTATAAACTACAAGGACCCACTCATCACACAGTTTATAAAACTACAAGGACCCACCATCACACAGTTTATAAACTACAAGGACCCACCATCACACAGTTTATAAACTACAAGGACACACTCATCACACAGTTTATAAAATTACAAGGACCCACCATCACACAGTTTATAAACTACAAGGACCCACCATCACACAGTTTATAAACTACAAGGACCCACCATCACACAGTTTATAAACTACAAGGACCCACCATCACACAGTTTATAAACTACAAGGACCCACTCATCACACAGTTTATAAAACTACAAGGACCCACCATCACACAGTTTATAAACTACAAGGACCCACCATCACACAGTTTATAAACTACAAGGACCCACTCATCACACAGTTTATAAAATTACAAGGACCCACCATCACACAGTTTATAAACTACAAGGACCCACTCATCACACAGTTTAAAAAATTACAAGGACCCACCATCACAGTTTATAAAATACAAGGACCCACCATCACACAGTTTATAAACTACAAGGACCCACCATCACACAGTTTATAAACTACAAGAACCCACCATCACACAGTTTATAAAATACAAGGACCCACCATCACACAGTTTATAAACTACAAGGACCCACCATCATGCAGTTTATAAAATTACAAGGACCCACCATCACACAGTTTATAAACTACAAGGACCCACCATCACACAGTTTATAAACTACAAGGACCCACTCATCACACAGTTTATAAAATTACAAGGACCCACCATCACACAGTTTATAAACTACAAAGACCCACCATCACACAGTTTATAAACTACAAGGACCCACCATCACACAGTTTATAAACTACAAGGACCCACCATCACACAGTTTATAAACTACAAGGACCCACTCATCACACAGTTTATAAAACTACAAGGACCCACCATCACACAGTTTATAAACTACAAGGACCCACTCATCACACAGTTTATAAAATTACAAGGACCCACCATCACACAGTTTATAAACTACAAGGACCCACTCATCACACAGTTTATAAAATTACAAGGACCCACCATCACAGTTTATAAAATACAAGGACCCACCATCACACAGTTTATAAACTACAAGGACCCACCATCACACAGTTTATAAACTACAAGAACCCACTCATCACACAGTTTATAAAATTACAAGGACCCACCATCACACAGTTTATAAACTACAAGGACCCACTCATCACACAGTTTAAAAAATTACAAGGACCCACCATCACAGTTTATAAAATACAAGGACCCACCATCACACAGTTTATAAACTACAAGGACCCACCATCACACAGTTTATAAACTACAAGAACCCACCATCACACAGTTTATAAAATACAAGGACCCACCATCACACAGTTTATAAACTACAAGGACCCACCATCATGCAGTTTATAAAATTACAAGGACCCACCATCACACAGTTTATAAACTACAAGGACCCACCATCACACAGTTTATAAACTACAAGGACCCACTCATCACACAGTTTATAAAATTACAAGGACCCACCATCACACAGTTTATAAACTACAAGGACCCACCATCACACAGTTTATAAACTACAAAGACCCACCATCACACAGTTTATAAACTACAAGGACCCACCATCACACAGTTTATAAACTACAAGGACCCATCATCACACAGTTTATAAACTACAAGGACCCACTCATCACACAGTTTATAAAACTACAAGGACCCACCATCACACAGTTTATAAACTACAAGGACCCACTCATCACACAGTTTATAAAATTACAAGGACCCACCATCACACAGTTTATAAACTACAAGGACCCACTCATCACACAGTTTATAAAATTACAAGGACCCACCATCACAGTTTATAAAATACAAGGACCCACCATCACACAGTTTATAAACTACAAGGACCCACCATCACACAGTTTATAAACTACAAGAACCCACCATCACACTAGGGCTGCAACAAACGATTATTTGGATAATCGATTAATCGGATGGGGTCTCGACACGATTAATCGATTAATCGGATTACATGGAGAAATTTTTAAAAACTGCTAGGGAAACGTTATTTCTCTCCTTCCTTCACTTTATTAAACACAACATTATTAGAAAACAGTTCAATAGCAGAAAAACAACATGCCATCACCTAAATTGTCTTATAAGGTGTATAGACAGAGACCCTAAGCTACATCTATCTGTGACCTAAAATGCTTGGTCCAAGTTAAACAGCTTAAGGGCAATTCTCATCTGTTTTGTTTGATCTCATCTGTTAACATTTATTTTAAATGTAATTAAACATAGGCTGTGAATTAATCAAAATTGATCACTATTTCCAAAACTGACTGAAAAAATACCAAATAAAACAAAAGTAAATGAATGCCATCCTCCTTGCAATGATGCCCTGGGCAACTGCCATAAAGTCACATCAAGAAACGCTGCTGATCATTCCAATGATTCCAAATAGACTCACATTAGGCCACATGAAAGCAACTGAACCCAAAAATATATTAACCAGTATATAACTGCACTCACACACAACACGCCTGCAGCAACAGTTAGGACTCCTCCCTCCCTTTTAAAAGCATTTTTGCTTCTGAGGACATTGTGGTTGTAAAACCACATGCTACTAGTCTGGCCCCGGTGTGATCAACCAGTTTCTGCGGGAATGTGACGGCGGAACCAGGGCCAGATTAACACTTTGTCGTACCCTGGGCAAAAATATTCAAGGGCTCCATCATCACGACCCAAGGATCACCATAATATGGTCACATACAGAATATTTTACTGTAATATGCAGTAAATATACTCAATACTTGAATGCCTGACAACACGTAACCCGCCCAGAGTAACCTGTGACCCACCTCGTGTGGACTGACCAATGAGGAGAGGGTCTTAACTTGAGGCCCTCTCTTCATTGGTCAGTCTGCATGAGACTGACTCTCAACTGACGTTCAGTCGTAGGCAGCGAAGCGTCTCTGTGCAGCGCAAAAGCCCGGGTGGACAGTTTGTTTAATATAGGGTGACCATATTTCCATTTCCAAACAAGAGGACAGAGGATCTGTGCCTATGACGTCACACTATGGCAACGTCACACAAACCATGTTGGGACCCATTTTTTGTAAGAACTAAATTAATATCAGATTCTGCCAATTAAAGGGCTCTAAAACAATTCATATGTAAATATTTTGCATATTTAATGCAAAATCTAATTTTTCTGCTTTAGTACTGCAACAAGGTTTTATTAATAATAAATTATTATACCTTTTGTTTTACTACAGCATCGGTAAGCTTCCTGTGCACAGATTATTAAGGATGCTTGTTTCAGCTGTGAGATTAGACGATAGGATCAATGAAAAAATAAGTTGTCACACACTCCATGGAAACTTTCAGATAATCCACAAATAGTGGCTTTCAAATGGTTTTGTTACTTTTTGCAAGTTTAGAAAAGCAGCAGATGAGACAGCATGTCTGATAATTTAGTTCTTCATCTGATAATATTAGAACATGTCAGTAATGTCTGAGGGGCTTTTATAAACACTGTATAACTAACACTACTGGAGAGGGTATGGATTACACAGAGGCTTCTGGGGAGCCCAGTTATGGGGGGGGGGCATTTTGCCTTGGCCCCCAAAATGTCTTGAAACGGCCCTGGGTGTGTGACTGAGTTTTGAAGGTGATCTGAATTGTATCAGATGTATAAATATGACATGTGTATAACTTATTGTTTTTTACTGGTAAAAACGTGTCATTTGACTTTTCAACACTTTGTTTTGTTTTCTTGTTTTTATTAAACTATTTTCCTGTCCTGTCTGTCTCTCATCTTCCTGCATCTCCTCATAATTCTCCAGAAAATCTGTTGCCTGGATTCTTACCTTTTCACCTCATCAGTTACTTTTGAGCAGATCAAAGGGATCTCCTGACCGAAAAGCGCAGAGCGCGTTTTCGATGCTGCGTGAGGTGACATCACCACAGCACAGGTGATGAGCTCCGCAGTAGCGAGCTTCAGGCACAAATAAGACAGAAAATAGAGAACATGTGCGGACATGAACGATTGTGGGCTAATTATAGTTTTTTGGTTGCACCACTTTGAGAATGGACCGTGCGCTGGAAGCAGCTGCCTGGATCGCTGCGCGACAATGCGGAACCGGTTCGCAGCAGCGCAAGTCTGCCGGCTCTCCCTCGTGCTGATCTGCCGGTACCGGCTCTCCCTCACGCTGATCTGCGGCTCTCCCTCGCGCTGATCTGCGGCTCTCCCTCGCGCTGATCTGCCGGCTCTCCCTCGCGCTGATCTGCCGGCTCTCCCTCGCGCTGATCTGCCGGCTCTCCCTCGCGCTGATCTGACTTGCTCTGGTCTGCGCGCAACGGCGGGCGGGAAGGGGGGGGGGGCGCTTTTGGAAGAGTTGTGCGACACAACGAATCGATGACGCAATTCGTTGCCAACGCTTTTAGTAATCGATTTTCATCGAATTTATCGATTCGTTGTTGCAGCCCTACATCACACAGTTTATAAAATACAAGGACCCACCATCACACAGTTTATAAACTACAAGGACCCACCATCATGCAGTTTATAAAATTACAAGGACCCACCATCACACAGTTTATAAACTACAAGGACCCACCATCACACAGTTTATAAACTACAAGGACCCACCATCACACAGTTTATAAACTACAAGGACCCACCATCACACAGCTTATAAAATTACAAGGACCCACCATCACACAGTTTATAAACTACAAGGACCCACCATCACACAGTTTACAAACTACAAGGACCCACCATCATGCAGTTTATAAACTACAAGGACCCACCATCACACAGTTTATAAACTACAAGGACCCACTCATCACACAGTTTATAAAACTACAAGG